TTCAGAAAACCTGTGCTTAATGTGACCACTAACACTACCTCAGTGGTAAGGCATTAGACGGTCTAGTTCATTGACATTTACAAAAGTGTACTATAGGTATCCAATTACTCAGTATATCATCATAATCTTCGTCTCACTTCACAGCTCTGTTGTTTGCTAATATGTTTTAAGTTTAGCTTTTGTGGTCTTGGTTAACTCTACGTGGGATTTAATCAAGTCTGGTTGGCTGATACAACACAACAATAACTAGAAATCGCTGACTGATAATTTACAGATTCAACTATCAGGTTGTGTGTGCGTACGCAGATACAGAAATGGAGGCATTTAATACAGTGACTTCCGTCACTGTCTGCTTAACTGAATTAAACGCCAATCTTATACAAAACTTAGCAAACTTGAATGTGTGCTAACAAGAGTTAAATGTACAAGGCATTGTATGAACATTCTCGACACAAATCTCTGGCTTTTCATATGCTGCTGTCGGAAGCCCTTTTGATGATTTGCCTCATCTCATGAGCATGCCCTTTTTTTTGTCTAATTAAAGTTTTGCATCTCTAACAGTCAAGCTAGAATTTTAGAAAGTTGAAGGACAAAGATTCTGAATGTGGCATTAGACACAATTCAGTTGAGCTGCCTACTTCAATTGCGCTTGTCTCTTAGGAGAAGCACTGTCTCTCCATTAAAATAGACATTATGGCTGTGTTTTTAGAGGGCTTCCCCGCCCCCTTGTTTATTATTTGTTTGCAATGTCCACTCAAATAAAATGTAGAAACCCAAAATAAGGGAGTCAATGAATTCAAGTGCAGAATTTACACTTTAGTGTATTCTCGGCTTCCAGTCCCAAACTGCCAATCCAGGGTTGCTAGGCCGAGAATCCGTGCAGGAATTATTATACTGAAGCAGACAATTGAGCCTTAGTTAGAATAACAATTGGGAGACGAAAAAAGCCCCTGCAAGAACTCTGTGAGATAGGTCATTATTATTTCTAGTTTCGAAATGGGGAACGGAGGCTGACAGAAAATGACTTGCCCAATCAATGGCGGAGTTACGATTGGAGCCCAGGTCATCAGCAGATCAAATTTAAAGCAAAGCCAGAGGTTTATGCTTCTTTCTTCAGTTTTCTAGTTTGCAAGCACAAATAGCTGAGTGCAGCCAAGGTCTCGATGGGTCCCAAAGACAATTCCCTCCCGCGTTTTCTGACTCCCCGTCTTGAAAGCCCCCTTCCTTGTTGGGTGCTGTGAATTTCACCCTTGGTCTGAGCATTTGAGTAGGTTGGAGGGGCCTGGAGAGGGTTTAATGTCTGCTTTCATGAGGGAAAGGCTGAGACCAAGGAAAAGATTTTGTCATATGATTGGTTTTACAATTATTATTAATGACAGAACCATTTCTCTCTGCAGGTGTCTGCTGTCTGTGATAAATGCAACGTTTCCTTGAACATTATGGCATAAAATAAACTAGCAGAGGGAAGCAACCACCCAGGCAGAAACGGCAAGAAGGAGGCAAAGTAGCAAAACTCATTTACATCCATCTTTATTTATCAAACTTAGCAGCTTTTTGACACGCTTCAACTGGAGGTAATTTTAAAGATCTCTGGTAAACTATGTCTCTTTTGCTAAATGTTGCATGCAATTAAACTTTTGGGAGGTTAGTGATGGGCTGGCAAGCTCCTCCCTGTTCGTCTTGTCAATGAAAATGACACAAAAAGTCGTGTAGAGACTAGGCAACCTCACATAGCACCAAGTACAAAGACTTGCCTTCAGTTCCGTTTCAATCAATGTAATGTGGAAACTAAATGAACTACACACCCATCTATGCCATCAGGTCCTTATCCTTCCAGAAGCTTCAGCCTTGGTTCTGAAACCTGAGCTCCTAACTTGCATTCTGGTCCAGGCCTGTATTTTGTTATAAAATGCTGCACTGGTGAGCTACCGAACCCACTGGTGTTAATACTACTATTATTTATTATTACACTTATTACACTTAAAAGATTTCCAAGTGACTTACATTTAAAACCATGGAGTGTGGAGAAAATTTCATAGAAAACAATAACATTTTCATGCAACATTCAGCACACAGCCCTCACTCCCGGAACAGTCATAGGAGGCTTTGGCAGCACATTAACAAAACAACAGATTCTGCTTACTCCATCAAAGGCCTGCGGGGGAAAGGCAAGTCTCTATGAGGCAGCAAAAAGATTTCAGCAAAGTGGCATGACGAACCTTTGCACACCCTGTGATACAAAGCTCTAAACAGCTTGAGACCAAAGTGCTTAAGAGGGCTTCTCCCATATCAACCATTTTGACTTTGTGATCAGCAGGGGAGGCCATGTTGGTGCTGCTGCCACTGGATGCTTCCTGATTGGTACTGATATGTGGTAGGGCCTTCTTGGTGGTGAGATGTGTGTATGTCCCTCAGAACATCAACATCTGAGTAGAATTTAGAAACATTCTGGTTCATCCAGGCGTTGGTTGGCTAAAAGATACTGGTCCTGGCAACCTTGAAATTATTAGCTGTAATGGTATGTAGCTGTTTTTAGAGGTGCTTAATGTTTTAGGTCAGAGGCTTTCAACCTTTTTGAGTCCATGACTCCCTTGACTAACTACATTCTTTCCGCAAAACCCCTGTGGGGCTCAGGAGCCCAGTCATGCCACCCGTTACCTGCAGAGCTGGCAGCCTCTCACCCTTTCCCAAACCCCCTCCCTTGTGGAGTGTTCCCTCAGCCTCCTCTTCTTTCCCCTCTCCTCTGGGCAGCCGCAGCTGCCACCCCTGGTCTCTGAGCTGTCCCCCCTGCCCCAAAGAGAGGTGCCTCCTCACACTGCCCCACAGGAGCCTGGGAAGCATCCCCTGGCCAGCCCCAGAGGCACCATTTGCCTGGGGAGCTAATAGCCAGGGCCGCTGCAACAAACAGCTGTGCAAGCCTTGGGAGGCAGAGATGCAAGTGGGCATCAGAGGAGATGGGGGGGGGGAAGAGGGACAGAGGCCAGTGTTGCTCGCGGCAACCCTATCATTCAAGACACCCCAGGGTGCCACGGCACACTGGTTGAAAGCCACTGTTTTATGTTTTGTTTTGCTGTTTTGGCACCCTGGGCAAAGGGTGGGATAGAAGGTCTATTAATTATCATCATCACTGTTGTCATTATTTCTATCCCATAATTTCTCCAAGGATTCAATCTGAGAACCAAATACAGGTTTTCATGAAAATTCACTAATTTTTCAGTTCATTTATATTCCATCTTTACTCTAAGGAGCTGAAGGCACTGTACATTCTTTCTTCCCCCACTTCTCATTTTATTCTCACAAGAACCCTGTGAGGTAAGTTAGATAGTGACTGCACCATTGTCATGCACTCTTAATGGTTTATTTATTTTTTATGAGTTTTTATACTCTCCATTCCTCCAGATCAGAGCAAAGGGTGGCTTACAATACAACATACATTATAAACAGTATGTAAATATATGTTGTGCATATAGTAAAACACAACTGCAACATTATGCCTCAACTACAACCAGCAACAACAACAGTAGCTTTCAGTAGCTTGGACAAATAAATAGACTTTCACCTGTCACCTAAATATAGCCTATGTGAAGGATTACACTATCTCAGCTGAGAGGAAGTTCCAGTAAAGCTAACCACTATTGCGCCCTGGCTCTCAGGTTCCCGTGACATTTCCAGGTCCAAATGTACCAAGCTTTGCAAGCCAATTTTCATACATCTTGCTATACCCTCAATGCATCTTTCTGCTACAGTGGTGCCCCGCAAGACGAATGCCTCGCAAGACGGAAAACTCGCTAGACAAAAGGGTTTTCCGTTTTTGAGCTGCTTCGCAAGACGAATTTCCCTATGGGCTTGCTTCGCAAGACAAAAACGTCTTGCAAGTTTGTTTCCTTTTTCTTAACACCGTTAATACAGTTGTGACTTGACTTCGAGGAGCAACTCATAGAACGCAGTGTACATAGTAGCCTTTTTTGAGGTTTTTAAAGACTGGTGATTTTTGAAGCTTTTCCAAAACTTCTTTTGCAGCCATTTGGTAAGTTAAGCTTTTAAAACTTTTTTTGGGGGGGTTGGATTTTGGGTTGGGGTGTTTGGAATTCAAGGACTTGGTGTTGGGAAGGGGTTTGCAAGAATCTGGAAGCTTGTGTTTTTTTTTTCCTGCATTTTTATGATTTTCTGTGACCATTGGGCCACTCTGCTGTTTTTTTAAAAAAATTCTGGATTTGAATTTCTGTGTGCTGGGTGGCTGGGGGAACAGTTGGGGAGGGGTTTGCAAGAACCTGGAAGCTTGTTTTTTCCCCTGCATTTTTATGATTTTCTGTGACCATTGGGCCACTCTGCTGTTTTTTAAAAAAAAATCTGGATTTGAATTTCTGTGTGCTGGGTGGCTGGGGGAACAGTTGGGGAGGGGTTTGCAAGAATCTGGAAGCTTGTGGTTTTTTTCCTGCATTTTTATGATTTTCTGTGACCATTGGGCCACTCTGCTGTTTTTTAAAAAAAAATTCTGGGTTTGACTGTCTGTGTGCTGGGTGGCTGGGGGAACAGTTGGGGAGGGGTTTGCAAGAATCTGGAAGCTTGTGGTTTTTTTCTGCATTTTTATGATTTTCTGTGACCATTGGGCCACTCTGCTGTTTTTTTAAAAAATTTCTGGATTTGAATTTCTGTGTGCTGGGTGGCTGGGGGAACAGTTGGGGAGGGGTTTGCAAGAATCTGGAAGCTTGTGGGTTTTTTCTGCATTTTTATGATTTTCTGTGACCATTGGGCCACTCTGCTGTTTTTTTAAAAAAAATTCTGGGTTGAATTTTGAAATGCTCTTTACAGTATGTGTGACTTTAAAGAGCACTTAATAAACTCTTGTTGTACCAAATTTGGCTTTGTTTGGACTTTTTACCATAGGAACGCATTAATTGATTTTCAATGCATTCCTATGGGAAACCGTGCTTCGCAAGACGAAAAATTCGCTAGACGAAAAAATTCGCGGAACGAATTAATTTCGTCTTGCGAGGCACCACTGTATTAACATGCAGTATTTTTGGGAGTCAGCTTGGATTCTCACAGGGAAGCAGCAGCAGCAACCTGCCTCTGGCTGTGCTCTTGAGAGATGGAGTTGGTGAGGCAGCGATGGCAGAGGTGCTGCTACTGGCTCTGGGCCCAAAGTTGCTTCTGAGCAGTTCCTTTTGGACTGCCACTCTTAACTGTTATGGTAGAATCTGTGGACTAAGGAAAGGCAGGCGACTCCTGGCAGCATGTGAAAGTGCAGCAATAGTGACCTCTCATTGGCAATTCCTGCTGTCTGGCTGGAAGGATTGAGATGTTCCTTCCAGTCTCAAAACTGAACAGAATTGTGAATGCTCAGCTTTTGTTAAAGAGAACACACAACATGTCCTTGCTCATGGCTCACACCTTTCTCAGTGGAGACTGGTGCCCACTGAGACTGGTGGGGCAGAAGGTTGGGAGGAGTAGTAGTTTGGATTTGATATCCCGCTTTATCACTACCCTAAGGAGTCTCAAAGTGGCTAACATTCTCCTTTCCCTTCCTCCCCCACAACAAACACTCTGTGAGGTGAGTGGGGCTGAGAGACTTCAAAGAAGTGTGACTAGCCCAAGGTCACCCAGCAGCTGCATGTGGAGGAGCGGAGACACAAACCCGGTTCCCCAGATTATGAATCTACCGCTCTTAACCACTACACCACATTGGTCCAACAGTAGGTGGAGCCAGAGCCAAGAACAGAGCCAGCTAATTCTACTTTTGCCCCCATCCTCCTCCCATGCTGCGTTCTACAGGGCAACACTGAGAATGAGGAGGAGGAAGGGAACAGGCTGTGCCAGTTGCAAGTGAGAAAGGAGGTAGGCAGGGGCCACTGGCGGACGAAGGTGGGGGGCGGTCCGCCCCAGGTGCCATCTGGGGGGTGCCATCACAGCCACCCGTCTCCCAGGGCGCTCAGCGTGCATCCCCAGGCCGCTCGCCACCCACACACCCCGCTGCTTGCCGCGCAACCCCCCGATGTGCGTCACACCCCCTGGGACACGTGCCAGCCATGCCCCAGATGTACGCCGCCCCTGGTGATGGAGTGGTAGCTTCACCACTGGCGGGGGCTAGCTGAGGGAAGAATGAGAAGGCTGGAGCAGTGCTCCATTTGCTCTAGTGGACCAGCCAGCACTGCCTACGTCACTTCCTTTCTAACCAGTGGTCTTAATTAGGGAAATGGGAGAAAGAAACTGAGAAGAATGTGGTTCCTGATACCATGGAAGTAGATCAGTTAGAGGTACTGTAATAGAAAGCAGGCTGCTTCTTCCATCATTGATTGCGACCTATGTGATCAGAAGATCTATTCTGCAGTTATGCAAAGATGTTACTCAGTAAAGCAAGCCCCGCCATTAGGCAGAGTAATTCTGTTTTAGGTTTCTGATGGTTGCATGCATCTGCTTCTGCGATCTTACGAATCTGCTCCACCTGCACATTTTTGTAAGCAGATTTTTGAACTCTTGGTTATAATTTCCTGATCTCCATCCTCTAAGAAAACAGCTCTGGGTACAGAAAGCACAAAACACTGTTCAGGGTCAACCATAAAATGCCTTGTTCTGACTAAGCCTATCAGTAAAGAAGAATTAAAAGGATGGGAAATAAATATAGTTAGAAACAGAAGGAGAAAAGTTGCAAAAAGTAAGCAATACTTTCTTTATCGGCACTGTTTTCCGCCCCATAAACTCTTAAATACACCAGTTTCCCATTAAAAGTTTATATACCTCTCCATTTTCTGACGGCTATCACCACCAAAATTGCAGCCTATGTTGCAGACCAATTTTTTGAAATGTTTTACGCAACACTTGCGTGTGCATGCAACTCAGATGAGTCATTTAGCAGAACTGTAGATTAGCAAAAGGATTTTTTTCACTGAACATGGGTGAACAATATTTACAATTTAACTGCTATAAATATCTTGCAGCCAACATTGTGCGTAAGCATATTCATTAAAGTATTTGAAAAAGCACCAATTACTATGGTTGCTTCAGCGCTAGATTGCCCTGCCGAAACATTGCTCTTCTACAATTAGATGGAAGTGGAATTAAAATTCCACCTGGGAATGCTGGAGAGGACAATGAAGAGACAATGTGACAACCGTCTTCAAATATGTGAACCATTGTCACATAGATGATGGAGCAAACTTGTTTTCTGTCGCTCCAGAGGGTAGGACTTGAATATCCAGTGACTGAGACCAAACATAAGGAAAACATTACAGATGGTACAAACTACTTGACAGTGGAACAGGCTGTTTCAGAAGTTTTAAGCCGGTTGTGATAAATATCCGGCCTTCCCAATGCTGCTGAACTCCAACTCCCATCAGCCCTGACAAGCATGGCCAATGCCAGGGATGATGGGAGCTGCAGTTCAGCAACATCTGAAGGGCCAAAGGTCCCCCCCCCCCCCAATTTAAGCTGTGGCTGTTGGAAGCCCCATCTACCAGGATACTGTAATTTTTTGCAATGAAAGAGGGTTGGCCTGCACAGCGGCGTAGCGTGGGTTGTCAGCACCCGGGGCAAGGCAAGTAATTTGCGCCCCCTAAGCAGGGGCAAGGCAAGTAATTTGCGCCCCCTAACCCCTAACCTGCCGCCGCTGCCAGCTTCTTCTTGCTGCTGCCTGGTCTGGTCTGGTGTGGTTCTCTCCCACGCTCAGCGCTGCGCTGGGCGGCCGCTGCACTGTCCCTCCCCCAGATAGTCCCTCGCTCTCTCTCCGCACCGCACGCCTGGCACCCACCCCCTCCACAGTGGGCGGCGACCCAGCGGCTCGGATCGGATTCGCACAGCCAGCACTGCAGTGAGAGAGAGAGAGTGAGCCAGGTAGGGGCAGAGAGCTGCGAGTGCGAGCGCGCCCCCCCCAGATGTTGCGCCCGGTGCGGCTGGCCCCCCCTGCACCCCCCACGCTACGCCACTGGGCCTGCATGAACTTTCTGCATCTGGTTCGCATGCAACAAAGAAGCACATTTAAACCATCCTTAACTGCTGCAGACCTTTTTTTTTAGTTTTCAGTGTGAACAAAGTGAATATTCCACAATGAAGTATATCAGGAGAAGCTTCCTAACCCCTAAACCTTAGGAGAAATGACAGGAAGAATGGGAAGAGCTGCCCAGCAGTGAAACACTCCCTGAGGAAGTGGCTGGCTCTCCTTGGCTTGGAAGAATTTAAGAACGCAGCCATCTGCCACGAATTCTATAGTTGCAAGACCTCACCTTGGGGAGGGGGGCCTCCTATGAAAATAACCCTTCCATATACTAATACACACTGCATATTTCCTTTCTTCAGAGCCCAGAATTTGCCTGCGCTCTAGAAACCAGCGATTTACTGTGTTTTAAAGAAGAAAAGAACAAAAGGGGACTATCTACAAGACTTCATTGCTGCATAAGCGTCTGTGAAAACCCTTCTGTCATTGCTTAATTCAGTCTAGCCAGTCTTCCTGTGCATGTAAACTCAGGCAAATTTTTGAACAAGGAAGCTTTCTTGCAATTTGCATTCGGTTTGCAATTGGCAAACCATTGCTTGTGTTGGGGATGGATACTGAAGGACAGCAATCTTTTTCCCTAATTTTGTTAATTAACAGTAAAACGCCATACAAGTCTACTCAGAAGAAAGTCCCATTACTCCATAGCAAGTGGGAAGAGGATTGTGGCAACTCGGATTAGGCAGTGGGAGGTCATGGGCTTAACATGGCTTTATACCAGGCCAGGCAAATTGTCTTTCTAACCCAGCACTGTCAGTGGTTCTCTAGAGCCGGTATGGGGGCGCCTCTGGCTCTCCAAATATTGCTGAACTACCGATCCTGTGCATGTTTACTGGGCAACAAGTCCTCTTGAACTCACTGCCTCCCATGCAAACATACATAGGTCTAGGATATCCATTTCGCGCAAAGCCACCAGCAAACCCACACCACGTCGGAGTCGGGAACTTCCCCCGGGACCTTTTCCACGTTGCAGCCCGTCCCCTCCCGCTCTCTTTCGCTGCTGGCTCCCGCCGGAGAAACCCGATCCCCCTTGCAAACGTGGCGGCCCAGCGGCCTCTTCTCGGCGCCGCCCACAGAGACGCTCCTGTCCAATGGCAAGAGGCGTTATATCTTGGAAGGGCGCGGGAGATCAATCGTTTGCGACCGCACTCCTGACTGGCTGGGAAGGGGGGGATTCCATCGGCTGGCCCAAATTAGGTCACCCGTGTGCGTTCCTAAAAGCAACACTTTTCCAGCCGGCCTTGTGCAATTGGGGGGTGGGGGTGGGATCAGGGGCAGGAGTGCGATCCCACGTTGAATCTTTTCTAAGTGTATGAGGAGAGGGAGAGAGAAGGCGAGGGGGCACGTTTGCTGGTGCTGCTGGGCTGGGAACTCCGCTTAAGCACGTGGCAGGCTTTTGCAGAGAGAGGAGCCCGCAAAGAGGCGACTTGACCCTGCACCGCCTTGCTAGAAAGTTGAAGTTTCTGCTTCTTCGGTTCTTTGCAGTGCCCCGACGTTGCCGCGCTCCCTCCCCCCCCCCCACCTCCTGCACGCCAGATCGCCCTTTGCCCGGTGCACACAATGGGCTCTGAAGCCCCTCTCCGCTACCTCGCGGCGGGGCTGCTGCTGACGCTTTGCACCCGGGGGTCCTTGGGCGTCCCCACTTTCAGGAAGGAGAGGGGAGTTCACTCGGAGCCCGAGCTCAGCGATCGGCAGCACGAAGACAACCAGAGCTTCCAGTACGACCACGAGGCCTTCCTGGGCAAAGAAGAAGCCAAAACTTTCGACCAGCTCACCCCAGAGGAGAGCAAAGAAAGGCTGGGGTAAGACCGACCTCCTCCTAGTCCCCCCCCCCACATAGGTTACTTGACCCGGTGAAAGTTCCTTCGCTTTATTCCTCTCCCACCCATCTTCATCTTCCCAAAGTGGAAAAATAAAATTAAAAAGGTGCGCCTCTTGAGTTCAAAACCAAAAGCAAAACCACGCTCTACGAAAAAAAAAAAGTTTTCACTATGTCAGGTTGTCACTTTTAGCCCCAGGGAGTGTATTGTGAGTTCGACAGAGGGTGCTAGGTTGGGCAGAGACGGGAGAGCTCCCAGGATTTGCTGATAACGTGGCAGAGGGGAGCCCGCCCCCCTGAAGCTGCTTGGAATGGAGGGAGCGCGGAAGGGAGGGGAGAGAGAGATGGTTTCATTCAGGGAAAGTGCACTTGTGCGGGAAAGGAAAGGCGCTTTCGGATTCTGATCGTTCCCCACTTTGTGCAGTCGATTAAAAGCCGGTGGCGGCTCTTTTGAGTGAGAGATCACTTGGCCATAGCCGCTATGGGGAAAATGGTGATCAAGAACGATGGCACTTGTTGCAGAAAAACAAGCAAGCAAGCCAAAGGGTCCTTTGTCATCTTAAGAGACCAATAATGTTATTGCATCATAAAAGACTAAGAATGTTATTAGACTTTCGTGGACCAGAACCCACCTCATCCTATGCATGGAGTGTAAAGTTACAGACAGAAAGTGTGTGTGTGTTGGGGGGGGGGAGTTATTACTATAAAGAATCAGATTCAAACAAGGTCTGGTGACAAGGGTAAAAGAAACCCTAATCCAAGCAGGTGTGCCCCATTCCCAACTCAGTTGTAATGTACTGATAATGAATGGGCAAAATTTCATTTAACACCCCTCCCAAAAAACTATCTGTTAGAAATCTGTAGGGAAGCTTTTCGGTCCCTCTTAAAGTTTAGTAACTGGCTTGAAAGTTGTCATACTAAAGCCAAAAACTTTTAAAGGAAGACTGGTGAGTTGGAGTTTATAGATGAGTTGGGCACCATTGGACTTGGGTGAACAGAATCTAAGAGGGCTTAGATCTCTACAGAAAACATTTGCCTGTTTTTAAGGTTCATTTAATTGCTCTACTTTGCCAATCCAGTATCAGTTTGGATGTGAGTCACACCCATATCGACTAGAACAATCCCCTCTGCAATCCTATTGATTTATTTTATTATTATTCTCCTGCTTTTTCCTCCAAGGAGCTCAAGCCTGCATCATGTTTATCTGCAAAACAATCCTTTGAGTGACTGGAGTGACTGGCCCAAGATCATATAACGTGTTTTGCAGCAAAGTGGAGATTTGAACCTGGGTCTTCCCAGGCCTAGTCCACCACTCTAACCATTACACCACACTAGCTCAGAACTGGGATGGAAGGTAGAGGAGTGTAGGTTTCCCTCAATGATGAGTGAGCGCTCCAAGCTCAGAATGCAGTTGGCACACAGGTACAAAGTGAGGCTCTGCTTCTGTCCACCTCTGAGTTGTTGGGGGGGGGGAGGGGGGATTTCTTCTGTTTCCCCTTCCCAACTCTGGGTTTAGGGGTAGAAAGAGGAATAGATTTCCCTCCTGACCTAATGCTGCATTTGGGGAAATAAAGGAAACGATATCTGAAGTAAAGTGGTAAAAATTGGTGTGAAAAGCATAGGCACAATAAAACGCTATTCATTCTTCACTGCTAAATCCCTTAAAACGGGCAGGGAAGCCATTACGGTGTCCCCAGTACAAACAACCAGGGCAAAATCTGGTCAACTGATGCCATTATGATGACATGCGATTGAGAGGTTGGTGGTGCTACCCACCTGTCAGGCTGGGGTTGCAGATCCAGTTCCCTACCCATGCCTTTCTTAAAAGGAAAAAAAAAGTCCTTAATTTGTTCGGCACCAGTTTGCAAACTCGGAACACAGAGTAGGACAATGGAAGGAAGAGTTCATTATTTCTCCTGCATTATTCTTGCCATCTTGTACAGTGGTACCTCAGGTTAAGTACTTAATTCATTCCGGAAGTCCGTACGTAACCTGAAACTGTTCTTAACCTGAAGCACCACTTTAGCTAATGGGGCTTCCTGCTGCTGCCGTGCTGCCAGAGCACAATTTCTGTTCTCATCCTGAAGCAAAGTTCTTAACCTGAAGCACTATTTCTGGGTTAGCGGAGTCTGTAACCTGCAGCGTATGTAACCTGAAGCATATGTAACCTGAGGTACCACTGTATTTAGGCAATTTTATTGGCCCCATGGGGTAAACATTATAGTGCATAGATTGGTCATTAGAGCTTCAACTTCCAGTCCCTCTGAAAATGTTTGTGGAAAATTGTTGCAAGCACTTATCATCGTATTGGCTTTGGTAGCTTGTTTCTCACAACATGACTATCCATAAGCACTGCAAGTTGGAAATTAATATTTCTTCAAAACAGTCCAGCAATCTTTCATTCCACTATCATTTATTTGAAACCAGTGTCTCCAGCTTTTTGCTGTTGCTTGCTACATCTGATCTGATCTTTGCGGCCTAGTTCAAATGGTGATCCCATGTTGAATGTACTACTTCAGGCTACAAGTGGGAACTTACATAACTGAATGCTCTTCCATTTAAAAAAAGAAATCCCTGCAAATAAACATCTAGATGTCAGGGAGAAAACTAAGCTAGAATGTCCCTCCCTGACATCTAATTTTGTGCATGGTAGTTTATTTGTTTTAGAGTATTTATTAACATAATTTTGATAGGACAGAACAATCCTGCCCTCATCTCTTAGAGGAGACAAGGAGAGTTTAAGGTAAAATAATAAAAAAAAAAACTAGCAAACAATCTGTAAGTAAGCTTCAGAAAGTATTCATAGCAGCCAGAAAGTTTTGTATGCTGCTGGGAGATGTATTTTATCTATGCTTGCATAAACAATAAAACGGTGCTAGTCTGCCTCAAAAGAATCTTTATAGTTTGTTTCTCCAGCCAGATGTGGATTATTTGTTAATTTTTCCAAACTCTCCAAACTGTCTTCTACCAATTATTTATTTGTATTTTTATGTTGTGATCCACCCTGTGATCTTCAGATGAAGGGCAATATACAAATAAAACAAACAAATAGTAACGTGGTGCCCTTTAGGTCCTTCCAATATTGAGCAACAACTAACTGGGCAGCTGCAAGACAATAACCAGTTAGAGGTTTGAAATGACAGTCCCTTTTGATGTTTTGAAAAATGTTCCAACAGGACCAATTCCAGAAATTTCAATAGCTGCTGTCCAGTCACTTTAGTAATTTCTACAAAGGCCACAGTCTAAAACTGCGGCCCTTTTTCACAAGTCCCCCAAATAAGCTGGAATGGTCCTGGTTCCTTACATCCTCTCCAACATAGCCTCAAGTTCAATATCTTCATTTGAAATAGTCTCATAGGCGTCATATACATGGTTTGCATAATTTTTAATGTTTGTTCCCTTGTGCTTGATGTTCCCAATTTAAATGGGAATTTTAACCATTAAGGATTTCCAGCAATTCAGTCAAAATGTTCCAGTCTGACTCCCACATTTGTCTCAGGCCCTCTGCAGAGTCCACATCAATGATAAGAAGTAAATTATCAATATGGGATACCAACCCCTTCCCTTTGCCATCAGAGCTCATGGAAGTTTTTGATCATGTGAACCCCCAACTACAGTCTGAAGTGGGACAGTCAACATACAAGTTTGCCTTCTATTCGAAGCCTTTTTGGAAAATTTAACTTTTGTATGCTAACTCTGACTTGCCAGCCCTTTTCTATCTCATTGGAACGGAGAAGAGAAGAGAGTTATGTATGAAGAGGGGAAAATCATAGCAACACATAGGAAGTTGTCTTATTTAGGGTCTAAGTTTAGACCTTTGGTCCATCTAGTTCTTGTTCAATATTGTCTATGCTGACTGTCAGTGGTTTCCCAGGTCTTCATATGGGTTTTAGCCCTACTTTGTAGCCTGCCACTGAGCAGCGGTAGGCTGGAGAAGATTTAAACACTGTGCTGACTGCAATCTGTAATACAGTAGTGTCATTTTGCTACAGTAAGCAGAGAAGGGGAGCTGGCATGCATATTGCATTTCTAAGCAGAACATTCTTCTCTAATGATAAATGTTTCTGTGGTTTTCTTTCTCCTACTGACAGTGGGAAAATGTCACATTTTCCAGCAAGTGTGGAAATGCAGTTCCACATGCTTGATCAACAATATTCCATTAGAAGAGTTTTTGACAGAGAATGACAAGGACAATCCAACTGTGACTGAGAATAAGTTGTTGGCTACATGAAACTCCTTCTCTTCCCCAACACACTTTCTGAGAGATAGTAGAGAACAAATATTCCAAATGCCCACCTTGAAAGGCCCTGGGAGAGTGTTCTTGGAAGATAAAAACCTGTGGAGAAACTTCTTCTGACTCCTACTGATCTGTCTTTAGATTCAAAACTTCTAATCTGTGGCTGGCAACCAGTGTTACTCAGAGTGTTACTTAGAATAAACCCACTGAAATTGATGAACATAACTAGGTCCATTTGCGGGAGGCAGTGCAAGACAGGAGTGCCTGGCATGCTCTGGTCCATGGGGTCACGAAGAGTCGGACATGACTAAACAACAACAACTAGGTCCATTAATTTCAATGTGTCTACTCCTAAGTACTCAACTTAGTTGAGTACCACACTATGTCATTTATTTAGAAATGGGTCATCATAGGTACCAATTGGAAGCCCTGTCTCTCGCAAACATAGTTGTTCAGGAGAACCCTGCAGAAATCTTTCAGTTTCTAATAATCCATTTTACTTTTTCTATTACTGCAGGAAAATTGTTAATCGAATTGATGATAACAAAGATGGCTTCGTCACCACAGAGGAACTGAAAAACTGGATTAAGCGAGTGCAGAAACGCTACATCTTTGAAAATGTGGCAAAAGTCTGGAAGGATTATGACCTCAACAAAGACAACAAAATTTCTTGGGAAGAATACAAACAAGCCACATATGGCTATTACCTCGGTGAGTAACTTTGAGAGACAAAATTGAACCTGCATACTTGGGAATCCCAGAGTGATAGCCAATATGTTTGCCCACCTGTCCTAGGATGTCAGGAAATCACAGTTCAATGGAAGAATCAGAAGCAAATTCATAGTTTGCTCCTGATTCTTCACTTTCAGCTGCAGATGTGAAAGGAGAATCTTGCGCTGCTTTCCATGCCTAAAGCAAAGCTTATATATATAGCGCTGAAAGTAAGCCCTGCTTGTGGCAGGATTCACCTGCAGTTAAGGACTCCTGAGTGGGACTAGTTCTGGCAGGACTTTTATTTGGCAGAGCCAGGGGAAAATGGTTTCTGATGTGCTTAACCAGGCCTGTGGGGCCAGATGTTCCTCACCTGTAATCTGAGTACAATCAGAGGCACAAACTCACTTTGCTTAGAAAAAAGAGACTACTTTACTTGTTTTGATACTATTTCTGGAGTTATTATGACATAGCAAGTGTTCTCTCCCTATGTTTTTATTAGCTTTGAAAGGGGTTAGACAAATTTGCGGAGATTAAGGCTATTGGTGGCTACTAGCCACAATCACTATATAGTACCTCCAGATTCAAAGGGAGGGTGGCTCTGGATACTAGTTGCTAGGGAGCGACAGCAGGAGCCGTGTATTGCACTCAAGACCTGCTTTGGGGCTTCACAGAGGCATCTTCTTGGAAGCACAATGCTACATCGGATAGGCCTTTGGTCTGATTTCTTATTTCTAGAAGGGTTTAAGTCACATGTCATCTGTAGACATCACTCAGGCCTTTGTTACATACTCACCAGTCCTGTTTGTCTCCATCTTGTCTTATTATTCTGGTTTTCTAGAAAACCCAGCTGAGTTTGAAGATGCAACAGAGCAGCACAATTTCAAAAAAATGATGCCCAGGGATGAAAGAAGATTCAAAAGAGCTGACCTGGATGGTGATTCCGAAGTCACTCGTGAGGAGTTCACAGCTTTCCTTCACCCAGAGGAATTTGAGCATATGAAAGACATTGTTGTTCTAGTAAGCAGCAGAAAAGCCAATCTCCTTTCTTTTGGTTTCCGTTTATTAAAGAGGTTTGAAAGCTGGCTTCCTCATCTTTCAGGGCAAGGTTTCCCAGACAATAGTCGCCAGCTATTTCAACAGGAAGGAAAGCTGTTTAAATAATCCTGCTTTGGTTATTTAAACGTGACCTGCTTGGTGACCTCCCTAATATGTTGATCAATATCACATGAATAGCTAGAAAGCTTGGAAGCAAAGTGATAGGTTAGGCCTGAACCAGTTTTGCCCGGAATGTTGTCATCTTTAAGTGTGCTGCTGAGCACTTCCATCAGACAAGCAACCTGATTTTATCATGCTACATTGGCTGACACTACAGTGTGGGGAAAATTTATTAAACTGATTTTGTAGCTAATACAGCATCCTGTGTAAGTCAATGCAACCAGAACTGCACATTTCTGTTGCACCTGCCTTTGGTAAACCCTTTCAGCCTCCTGGATTTTACAGGTACACCACTGCTTCAGCAAGACAACGCAGGTCCATTGTAGTGGCCTATGAGATGAGGTTTACAGAGTTGCCTATGCCCCATCACCACCTCGCTCTTCCTCAGATGTCCCTTATTCAGGGACCTGCTAGGACACAGAAAGTTTCTGGACCAGGTATGGGGAACCTGTGGCCCTCCAGATGTTCTTGGACTCCCCCATAATATGGCTAATGGGCAGGGATAATGGGAGCAACATCTGGAGGACCAGAGGTTCCCCATCCCTGGTCTGCACTGACTGGAAACAGCTCTCAAGGGTATCAAGACAAGAGTCTTTCCCAGCCCTGCATGGATATGCCATGGAGTTAACCCAAGACCTAATGCATGTAAAGCATGTTCTCGGTTACTAAGCTACAGCCCTTTCTTAGTTGTAGGGACTGGGTACATCATTCCTGATGTAGATGACAGAATAGAATTCTTTTATTCTAGACCTTTGTTTTTTAATTTTATGTTGTGAACCACCCTGAGATCTATGGGCATAGGGTGGTATACAAAATAAATAAATAAATAAACAATAGATTAAATATTTATTTTATTATTAAGCTTAGAATAAGCTTTTCTTTGATTTCATAAGATATTAATTCATTTATAGCAGTCCCTATCACTTATCAATGTTTACTGTGAAGCTATGTCTCTCTATATATATTTGTAGGACGTGTTCTATTTTAGTTGTTTGGTGGATTTTTAAATTAATATGCTTTTATGAGTTTGGGGTTTTACTTTTGGGGGATTTTTTAAGCTTAGGAACAATATTTTCTCTTTGGCAATATTATATCATTATTGATATTTCCGTGTGTGTGTGTGTGGGTTAAAGACTTTACCCTTGATGTAAAGTGACAGCTCAGAATGAAATGGTTTTATAATCAGTTTGGGCAACAAATACACACCTCTGCAATGACAGCTTTTTTCCCTTATTGTGACAGGAAACCCTGGAGGACATAGACAAAAATGAGGATGGATTTGTGGATCAAGATGAATACATTGGTAAGCTGCAGCAAGGGGATTTCCAATATTTATTATTTTATTTTAAAAGTTTTATTATGCCTAGTTTGGACAGTCTTCTCCCCAAGTCAAGGGGAGAAAGAGGCATGCGACATTTGTCATGTCCAGTTTGGACCTCAGATTACCAAAGTACATGGTACCCTCTGTGGTTCTCTCAGTGGAAGTGGGCGCCTTTGGAGTGCTGGTTGTGTCAACCCCATATATTACAAAAAGGGATGTTCTGGGTGCATAACAATGAAGCAGGCCCCTGTTGATTCCCCTCATGTTCTTGCATTTTCAAAGCACCATTGGCATTTGCCACAGAGTGCTTAATGTTGTTCAGTACTAAGGAGTTAATATGAGAGAAGTAATTCTTGGGGCACCGAGGCTTCCCTCCCACCCCCCAAGTCTCTCTAAAAGCCATCCAGTTTCATGTAGATGATTTTTGTTTCCCCAAGTTTCCTTCTGCCTTTTATTCCCTTTCCCACTATTGCTCGTTTGATTCTGATGTTATTCACACAGACACTTGCTGGCAGAGACAAGATGCAATGTTGCTCTGGGTCCTTTTTCTTCCCATACTTCTGAACCTAGCATAAAAGATTGTGATTGCATTGTAAGAGGGGATCTTGAAAGAGTTGTGACTTCTCCAGCCTTAGAAGAAACCTACTGAGTGAAAGGCATTAGGGCCAAAGTTCTCCTTTACATTTTATTTTTTAAAATATACGTTTCTCCATCAGGATGAATAACAAAAGGTGATAAAGCAACATGGAACCTTATCAAAATGCCACATCGATAGCATAACAAATACAACTCTAATAGTAAAAACCAAAATAGAGATGCAGTTTTTTGTCTTTGTAGAAAAAGAGGGTGGGGGGCTTTTGCTGAGGGTGCTTGCAACTATTTGAGCCACTGAAGGAAAGAACCTGGGTCAGTTGCTCGTGAGCATGAGAATCGAGGAGTGAGTGGACAATTGCTGGTGTGAGACAGAATGCAAAATGTTCCTGAGGCCATTTCATTGTTTTAGTAATCTATATGTCCTTATTTGCTTTGCCCAGGTATTTGACTAAACTGGAAATTCCAATTGTAGTTTAGCTTGTTTTATGATGGAGCCCTTAGTCTGCTTAGTCTATTCACTGGACTGGTTTTGATGAATTCTCTTAATTTTTGTACATTGGGAGGAACATTATGATCATTTGTCTGCACTTCTGCTTGCTAAACAGAACAATCTTTCTCGGGGTTCCAACCTCCGCCAGAGCCCATAGGGTGTGGCCCACAAAGGAAGAGAAGAGGGATGGAAAGCCTGTTGCAATAGCAGGACTTGTTGTGCTAGCTCACACTAGTACAATTGCTTAGTTGAAAGTGGCCCATTTCTATAATTTTTTTTCTGTATATTTTTATTATTTTATTGTTCCCTGTTCTGGGATTGAAATATTCAGTGAAGAGATGGTTATAAAATCATAGATAGATAGATAGATAGATAGATAGATAGATAGATAGATGATAGAAAGAAATATGGCACATGGAAGAGGTAAAGAGAGTACCATATTTTTCACCCTATAGGGCACACTGGCCCATAGGGCACACCTCGTTTTTTTTGGGGGGGGGGAATAAATAAAAAAAAATCCCCCCCCAGCCGTAGGGCTGGGGCGAGGGAAGCCCAAGCTTCCCCCGACCCCAGCCCCCAGAAGAGGCTGCTATCTGCAAGGCTTGCGGACATCTGCGCGAAGCATGGGGCTCTGGAGCGCGCCCCGTGCTTTGGGCTGCAGGCTGCGGCCCACAAGCCGTGGGAGCCCAGCGGGCACTCCCGCCGGGCTCCCAAGGCTTGTGGATAGCTTCCTGAAGCCTGGAGAGCGAGAGGGGTCAGTGCACACCGACGCCTCTCGCTCTCCAGGCTTCAGCGAAAGCCTGCATTCGCCCCATAGGACGCACACACATTTCCCCTTCATTTTTGGAGGGGAAAAAGTGCGTCCTATAGGGCAAAAAATACGGTAAGTAGCAGGTAGGATCTTATTTTTTCCACTTGAGAAGTATAGTCAGACTTCCATAAAAGTTACGGATAGCATATGGCTTGTTTCCAATACCTGTGTGAATGACAATAGTCATTCAGTGGACGAACAGGAATATGCCTTTTCCTGCATTGTGTGCAATGCAGTGTGTGATGTGCACTCTCCACAAATGGAAGCCCTCACTAATGGTTGCCCACTTCACATGATTTCTCCTTCCTCATGAGAAATTATGAGATTCCACCTTCCTTGCCTACAGAACCACTGTCATTCTTTTACATGTGTGGAGGAGAGGAGAGGATACTCCTCCTTTATGCAAAGACTTTTGCCACTTTGGCCAGCAGCTGGACTGGGCCTAGATATTGGTTCATTTGTTTTTTTGTATTAACTTTCAACAGCACTAAGGCTGTATAAGCTTGCCAATGACCAGGGGGATAATCCCCATGTAGATCTCAAAGTCTGACAGATACCATCAGCCTCTACGTCGGTTTTCATTACCACCATCGTATGGCTTAATTGAGCATTACAAATACGTTGACAAAAGTTAAAAGCCCACATCACTTTTTACTAGACTGCCCACCGACAAAAATCCTGATGTAAATCATTTGTGGTATATCAGCAGCATGAAACAAACAAACAAACAAAAAAACTCTGTACATGTCGAAGATGTCTGGAGGCAGTTCTCATTCTTTATAGGTGAGCCAAGTTAATTGTGCGCAAAGTAGATGGTATGATGGGAATGCAGCTTTTCTTCAGGTGTTTGGCTGGAGCATTGCTCTCCATCTTTTCTGGCAGGTCTTGATAAGGTAATGCAGAAGTGAGCAAGCCCAGGCCTGGTGCCTAATGTGGCCCTTTAGGCCTCCTTATATGACCCCTGGAACTTTCTTCAGGCCAAACCCCTCACTGAGCCTTGCTTTTCACCCTGAATGTTGTTCCCTGGCTGGAATATGTCCTTGAACTTTGCTAATGCCTCTTGCTTGTCTAGCTGGAGGAGAGGGAGGCCTGGTGAGCTGGAAAAGCTTCCCCTCCCTTGAGGTAGCAGAGCAGTTATTGAATGGTATAGGCGTAGTGATAACAGTGAAGGTACTAGGCTGATAAGTCATAATTCAATAGGTAACTCATAGCAGTGTTCCATCTGTCTTCACGAGGGTAATTTACGCAGTGGATAGCTGGAAAATGGCACCTCTTTCTAATACACCATATATAATGTCTTGTATCTCCAAAGATGCACTCAAAATTACCTACTAAGTTGTACTTATTGGCCTTGCATCATCTTACATTATTTCCTGCTCTTCATGTGGCCTACTGCTTTGTTGTGGAGAGAAAATTGCAGATCAGAGTAGCAGATTTAGCTTCTAGGAAAGGGAAAAATGTATATATGTTGTGTGATATATTTAAGCTTGCCTCCTTATGGTGGTGATTGGCATTATTACCCTGACAGCAGCTGGCACAGCAAAATGCTGAATGAAGATAAGGACGAGATGGGCCTACCACTAAGCAAACACAAAATAGGCATAGAGAGCAGGTCATCATTGTGAAAGTATTTAGAGTGAAGCCTCCCCTCCCCAGGATTTATAACCAGGAGAGGTTAAGATTGGAAGAAAGTGTAATAAATAACAATAAATAATAAACATGACACTGTTTCCTCTCAGCTGATATGTTTGCACATGAAGATGGTGGTCCAGAACCTGACTGGGTAATAACTGAACGGGAGCAGTTTGCAGATTTTCGGGATCTCAACAAGGATGGGAAGCTGGATAAGGAGGAGATACGACACTGGATTCTCCCACAAGACTATGATCATGCACAGGCTGAAGCCAGACACTTAGTATATGAGTCGGATGTCGACAAGGTACTTAGTTCTTTCACAGAGTTCATGAATGGTAGATTATTGGTTTACTTGCTGCCTTTCTATATAATGTCAGCCTACCAAGAGTCAAACCTGAAGGACTCTGTAAGGAGATCACTAAAAAAACTGATATAAATATGATAACGTTAATGCCACCCACTGATCATTCAGGAAACACAGAAAATTTATGGTGGAAGTGGTAGAGATCCAAATGTTAGACCCAAATGATAAGAATTTACATTAAGTGTTCTAATTCTGAGATCAATGTGTGGTCATATTTGCATCGAATTCTGTGTGCTGTATTAACTTTTCATATCAGTGGAAGTGTGCAGATAAATTCCACAGAACTTTCAATGCCTACAAGTCATGATACCTATGTGCTACCTCCATATATGCCTTTGGATTACCAGTTATTGGTGAGCGACAGCAGAAAAATGTTGGTGAATCACATGGGCCTTTTATATGATCCAGCAGGGCTCTTTTCCCATGTTCTAATCCTGCCATTGTAATGAATGGGGAAATGACTCTGCCAAGGAGTGTGGTGGAGTCTCCTTCTTTGGAGGTCTTTAAGCAGAGGCTTGACAACCATATGTCAGGAGTGCTCTGATGGTGTTTCCTGCTTGGCAGGGGGTTGGACTCGATGGCCCTTGTGGTCTCTTCCAACTCTATGATTCTATGATTCTATGATTTATGCTGGAGGAGCCCAGATATTCACATCAAACTCCATAATGCAGAAGGGGGCTGGGCTTGATTGTTTCAGAGACACTCCCTACTCTGCAACTAGAAATATGAAAGATAGTGGTGTAGGCTGGGTCTGGATGTGTTATTTGATTGATATGTTTATATTCCCTGCCTTCTCCCACATCCATGCCTATCCAGCATATAAGAGAAACAAATTCTAGCAATAAAACTTGATAAAGTAAAATCTTTATAAACTTTATAAATTTACTTTATAAAGTTAAATCCCACAAATACAAAACTAAAATTGACATAAGATAGTCCAGGGTAATAGACCAGCCTCCACTACAAATTTCAAAAGAGTGCTCTTGTTTAGTGTTCCAGTCAGTCTGCCATGTCCCCCTCCAGGACATTATTCCATCTTCATTTTTTTGACCAACAGTCTGTCAGCATTCTGAGAACACATAGTCTTCATTTATTTAATTTTGGCGGGGATGGGGGTGTGTGTCACTAGATACTTTTATACTTTGGTAAACCTCAGAGCTCTACTGACATTTGGTTAAACACAAAGAGTGTTTATGTTGCCAACTCTTTGAGTAAATACAGCTTATGAGTATATTGCCTCATGCCATGAGGGTCTTTTCTTAGTGAGTCACAGAGCAGAATAAAGTTCTATTGTTTTTAGACACAGCACTCAAACCCTTTAATAGAAGCTCAGTTTCACTAAAGATTTTCATTTCCACCCCCTCCAGGACCACATGTTAACCAAAGAAGAGATTCTGGACAACTGGAATATGTTTGTTGGAAGCCAAGCAACAAATTATGGAGAAGACCTCACAAAAAACCATGATGAGCTATGATGTTTTTTGAAAAGCAAATACACTAGAGACTTGGGTCATGTTTTCCTGTATATAACCAAAGTAATAGTGGCAATTTTAGCAGATTATGTTTTTAATAAGGCTGTTTTTAGCATTGTTGAATATACAATAGGTTTACCACTTTTTTAATTGCACATTTTTATTATACATTTCAGTATAATTTTGGAGATGCACTTTTCAGTTATAGCTTTTGATACACTTTCACCTCAGCCATAAATACTCAGACTTGGAATTCTCACTGACATTGGTGAGACTTAGCTTGTAAAATGTAGTATGGAAGATGAGTAGCTTCATAGGATACCCTTGTATGTTGTTGACCCACACTGTATCACACTGCAAGTGTGTGTGTGTGGCAGGTTGCTAATGGTTCAGTGCTCCCTCATAACACATTAAAAAATGTCAGGCTGCAATTCTGTACACGTCTAGCGGGGAGTAACTCCTGTTAAACTCGGTGGGACTTCTGAATAGACGCATGCAGGATTGCACAATAGGTAGGATAGTCTTCCTGACTGGTTTTCTTTGGTAGAGGAGACTTTTTCATAAGGACAGAAGAACAGTACTGAATCAGGCCATCTGTTCCAGCATCCTGTTCTTGCAGAGGCCAATCAGCTGCCTATGGGAAGCCTTGAAGCAGGACCTAAATGCAACAGCACTTTCCTCCCTTGGGATTTCCATGTGTACAGAGTTTGGGCTTCCCATCCATTTCCATGGCAGTGGTGGCTTTCATGTTCCCTTGCAGATGGAGAAGCCCTGGGTGGAGGGAACTATATGAATGGTTGGAAGCTCCTGCCGTGGCTGAAAGACATCGTCCTAAATTAGAACCAATAAATCTCATTGGCATTTGAAAGACAGCATTGCCACATGGTGTGATGTTTCTGTTCAAACGGCAGAGCTGCTGCTTTATACATTTTCCCTGTGTTTGGTAGAGTGATCCACTTCATATTTATGAAGTGGGTTTTGCCAAATATTATGAGTGGATAGCAGTCATTTCACAGTGGAAATGAAGACACACCGCATTTCCGAACTGGGCCTTTTGTGAGCATTCAAGAGCCTTTGAACTTTGTATTGAATTTCCAGAGAGGCTATACAGCACAAGAGTCTGAGTTTGTTGTATGTGTGTATATACATATGCATTGCCACTTTAAGGAGGTTTTATGCCGTCAGCTAATAAAAGCTTTTAATTTAGGGGCTTAGAGAAGAGCTGTATTTCAGAATGCATATGAGCTGTTGTGTATGATACAATTGCATTTTTGCCTGTATTGACTTGAAGATACGAACGATAAAAAATATTACCGTATTTTTCGTCCCATAGGACGCTCCGTCCCATAAGACGCACCTAGTTTTTTGGGGGGGAAATAAAGGAAAAAAAAATTCCCTTTATTTCCCCTCCAAAACCAGGTCAGGAAAACCAAACCAGGTCGGGGAACAGCGGTATGGCAGTGCTCCGCCTCCCCGCTGTCCCCCGAGCTTGTGGGGCTGGCGCTGGGGAGAAGCGCGCTTCTCCCCAGCACCAGCCTCAAAACCAGATCGGGGAACAACGGGGTGGCAGCACTGCGCCTCCCCGCTGTCCCCCGAGCTTGTGGGGCTGGCCGATGTCTGCCCGAAGCGCGGGGTTCTCTGCTTCAGCGCGCCCCGCGCTCCGTGCGGCAGGCTGCTATCCGCAGCCTAGGGAGCCCTGTGGGAACTCCCGCAGGACTCCCCAGGCTGCAGATGTTTGCCCGGCGCGCGGGGCACTCTGCTTCAGGGCGCCCCGTGCGCCGGGCAGACATCTGCAGCCTGTGGAGCCCTGCGGGAACTCCCGCAGGGCTCCCCAGGCTTGCTGATAGCTTCCTGAAGCCTGGAGAGCGAGAGGGGTCGGTGCGCACCGACCCGTCTTGCTCTCCAAGCTTCAGCGAAAGCCTGTATTCGCCCCATAGGATGCACACAGATTTCCCCTTCATTTTTGGAGGGGAAAAAGTGTGTCCTATAGGGCGAAAAATACGGTACATCTTTTGGATAATTTAAAGGTCTTAAAGTGGGAATGATGAAGGGTTTCATACAAAATCTTAAAATGCTAGTTTGCTCATGTCCTGATGAAATTTTCCTGCCTGTGATATCAAGTGGGGAGGAAACATACAGCATAAGAATGTTAACATGCAATGTAATTTATATATCAAGGGGCAGGGTTTATCCCTTGCTCATCCCTGAGAGCTGTTTACTACTGCTGTGTAAGAGTAATACTTTTCCCCATTCCCCCCCCCCTCTATCTGCAGACTAGACTAAGAGTGCCTCTTTAAAAAATGGCACAAAGCTGCATTTTGTGAAAGGCATTGTTAGTGACATGAAGGTGAGAAGTGGAATCTCTGCAAACACCACTGCTCTCCCCCCCCCCCCGGCTGCAAGAAACTCTCACTTTTTTCTGGGCAATGGGCACAATAAGGGGATACACTCTGTGGAAGTGAGAAAGCTGAAGATTACTAGCTAGGCAAACCAATGAATGGTTACCAAACCCAACCACAATTTGTGGAATCTTGCTGGGGATCCTTAATTTGGCTGTAGCTCCCTGATGTAGGTCCCATATATGTTTGGAGATGCTCAAAGCAACTGTATAGAGTAGAAAGAGGGTTTTTAGAGAGGGCTCTGACAGATTCTTGTTTGAGCCTTAAGTAAGGTGATGCTTACTTAATTTTAGCAATAAAATAGCCTCATGGATTTATTTACTAGAAGAAGAGTTTGGATTTGATATCCCGCTTTATCACTACCCTAAGGAGTCTCAAAGCGGCTAACAATCTCCTTTCCCTTCCTCCCCCACAACAAACACTCTGTGAGGTGAGTGGGGCTGAGAGACTTCAGAGAAGTGTGACAAGCCCAAGGTCACCCAGCAGCTGCAGGTGGAGGAGCGGGGAAGTGAACCCGGTTCACCAGATTACAAGTCCACCGCTCTTAACCACTACACCACGCTGGCTCTAGACCAGGGGTGTCACACTCAAATTCATCGAGGGCCGCATCAGCAGTTTGGTCACCCTCAAAGGGCCGCAAACAAGTCATAACCTCAATGTATGTATATCCAAAGCTTACCGCTCAGACTTTTAAGCAGAATAATAAGCAGACCCCCCCTAATAAGCAGACCCCCCTCCCCCCCACATACATCATATGTACTTACAGTACAGGAGAGAAGGGTTCAGGCAGCCGTTGGATCTGTCACATCACAGGATGGCATGCGCTCAATATAAAAACAAGTGGAGGTTTCCTGAATGCATGTAAAGTGGAGGTTTCCTGTGTAGAACGGCCGGCGCCACTAGAGGGCAGACGTTCTCTGGCTTGTAGGCTGCCGCGCATGCGCTGAAGAGGCGGCTTTCTTGTGTCAAAAAAAAAAAAAGCGAGAATAAAAGGTGAAGGCCGGCGACGGCTACACGGGCCACATGACGAGGTCTGGTGGGCCGGATTCGGCCCACGGACCTTGTGTTTGACACCCGTGCTCTAGACCATTCTCTGCACAATAGGTGTTAGGCCTGCTGGAGTCTTCCATTGCCCTGGCCTACCAGATCCCCATGTGTTCAGCCCCCCCCCTCAAATGTGCGTGTCCCTGAAGATTGGTGTAAGGAGCTGCCACCAGAAGATCCGAAAAAGGCAGTGGGGAAAAAATCCAATTAATTTTGGATTTTAATCACTTCAGTAACACATTGGAGCCTTGGTTATAGTGTAAGGTGATTTTTTTTTTAAGGGGTAAATCACATTTCCTAATTGGACTAACCTTGAAATATTTTGGTAATCCATACTTAGGCACAATCTGTTTCAACTGGAAACTAGCACTGGTGACCCACAAAGCAATAAACAGGCACGCAGCTGTTACTACTGCATGCTTTCTGCAACTTCAGTAACAGTGAATATGTGCAGTGTACTAAATTCGCCTTTCAAGCTCAATGCACCGAGCAAGAGTAACTCTAAAAGAGACTAGGGCTCCTGGGTTTAAATTTAACACTATTTAAGGAAAGCAAACCTTTGCTAGGGGACATAGCTGTTAACATTGTGATTTTTCAAGCATTAGGGTTCTAATGGGGTTTGACTGTTCCAGAGATAACATATTTTTTTCTAGGTAACATATATCAAGTCCGATTACGAGCAAAAGCTACAAAATTTTACTGTAATGTGAAATACTGTAATGTCAGATAGCATTATTTATCTGCTTAATATGACAAAAAGCATTAATTGCTGGGAGCCATGATTCAGTCCAGCAATATGGAAATCCATTTTGTGCCTATCTCATCAGTTGTTGCAGAGTTTTCCTAATGAATTGTGATGTGAGATTCTGCTGGGAAATGTGTTTGTCTCTCTCCCCCCGCCCCCACTTGCAGGTTCAGTGTGCTCACTGTTGTGACATAGATCCTCCATTAACTAAATGTTTTCATTAAGGTAGTGCCACGACACATCACGGGCGCATCTCTTTCCTCTTCGATATCTGGAATAGCCGTAATCATTACTCCACATGCAGTTTTAATTATTAGGATTTACCAAATGGACTAAGTGGCTAATGCTCATTGTTTTAAAAGTCCCTCTTAACTATTCAATCAGATTAAATGTGTCATCCATTTCCAATCAAGGTGGTATGCATATATCCCACAGGAAAGGGAAAATGCAGCACACTCTGATCTAATGACTTTTACATAAAGGTTGCCTTAATGCTTTACATTTTGCAACACAGAAACTGATCTTAATTCCCACTGAAGTCAGTGGTAAGTTTCTCATAAAACTGAGGAGAGGAGCAGAAACCACACCTTCTTCCTAGTTAATAGTGATCATTGACTATAAGTTTTACACACTTATAAACTATAAACTAGTTTTACACACACATACACACACGTTTGACCTCAAGTGCATTCACCCCTGTCCATGGTAGTAGGCTTGTGCATGCAGATGCATCTGGATACATATGATCACAATGCTCATGTAGACCCCATTAACTGGACACATATTTTGATGTGGATGCCTGGAGGTGGTGGTCTCGACCACTTTGGCCACACCTGCCACTGGCATATGACTTCCAGAGGGTTGGTGAAAAGACAGTAGCAGCCAATGTGGTGGGGCAGAATTCCCCTTCACCCACACCAGTGTTGCTGCAGCTTACCTGGTGATGTAGGAGCCAACTCCTAGAGGCCAAAGGGGCTTCATCCCTCCCATAAAATATTTGAGGAGACTGCCCCCCTCCCCATGTTGATGGGCATTGCCATTCAAATAGTGTATGTGCACCACACCATGTGACTGATTATGTGGGGTGGGGCTTACCTGTCCCCCAATACTTTATTCAAATTGCACGCCCTGCCTGGTGTGGGGGGTGGTGTTGCACTTGTAGGAGCCTTCCACCAGGGTACTGCCCACTCCTCACCTCACCGCCACTCTGCCCAGCCTATAGCATCCAGGTTAGATGTAGCAACACCCATCAGGAGGCTGGCACAGCTTATGCCCCACCACATAGGGGACTACTGCTAAGACGAACTTAAAAGGTTTCCTGCATTATACAACCAGCGAGGTGATATTCTTTGTCTTACCATTAAAAATGATTTCTGCTTTCCGGAGCTTTCAATAGGCCCTATACACCCCCTTTGCAAAGAATGTCAACCGTGGGATAGAGGTGCCTCTCATCCATGCAGACAGTGATCATAATTATGCACCCATGTTAGAGGTTACCTTTAACACCCTTTGCGATCTGGCTGTATGAGTGGAATGGATTGTTACAGCCCAGAGAGTCACCAAATCTTGCACAGGAAGGATGAATGGTCTGATTCCAAATAGCATGAATTGACTTTGTAGACAAACTGCAGAAACTTGCCCTCCTAAGGGTCAAACTAGGTGTTATGTTAACTAAGTGTTTTAAATTGTATATTTAGGATTCATCACATCTTTCTTGCAGGAAAAAAACAAGCTATGTGGGCCTCTAATCTGGATCAGAAGTGCAATGTTGGAAGTGAGGTTCCTTCCCACGCTATTTTCCTGTTCAAAACTATCCCTGAAGCTGCTAGATCCCCCCAAAGCAGTATGGTTAAGAAAAGTATATTGTACTGCTTTTCCTTGTAGATAAATGGAATCTGTTGGTCTTTATCCACTGAATTGGAAGTGGAGAGGAGGGGAAATTAGCATCCCATCAGAAAGATTAGATTGTAGGACAGGTAAACGTAACTAAATTAGAATTACCAGATTCTTTCTGGCTACAGAAGTCAAGTGGATACAGAATCTAGTGCAACAACTGAGGATGACCCTCAGACGCTAATTCTGAATGGCTGCATGCAGATTAAATGGATATTTTTAAAAACAGTATT